TTAAAGCATCTAAAAATTTAGCAAGATTTTATTATTTAGATTAATAAAGGTACCTTAATCCGTGCATTATTAATATAAGAACAGTATATAAATCAAACGATTTATTAATGAATTAAACTTTATACATCTTAAATTTATAAATCGACGAAACACAATCACTCATAATCGGTATTAATTAACGGAATGAATTAAGGATATTATGATTGTTTGTTAATATGAAAGTTAGTACATTTTTCTTCTGTTTTGTTCTAGAGGCAATTGATTAGTCGGCGTTCTTTGTGAGAGGTCGATGCTCACAACAATTTCGCTCGAGGCCCGACCGCCCTAATTTTAATGGCCTTATAAAATTTATACTTAATGTATTTATCATAAGACGATGTTGAGTGGATCTGTCTTGTATATTAAAAATATATGCTCATATATAATTTTGTACATTTTCATATAAATATTTTTTAAGTATACAGTTAGTGTAATGATTATAAAAAACTAAGTTAAAACTTAGTATAAATGTATTTTAATGGTATTAAAGAATTTTATTTTAACCAGATTTTTCTTATTAACGTTCATCTAACCGGTTAATTAGATAAGATTATATCTTACATTAAACCGAGTTCTAATTTAAGTGTTCAGGCAATGCGCCAACTACATCGATGTAATGACCTTAAAATTAACTCAAACTTTATAAAACTATAAAATTTAGACAATAAATAAATAAACATCAAATTAATTACATAATAATACTAATATTTTTTAATATTTCTAATATTTGGCTTATCCATATTAAGAAATAATCTCAGTATTAAATGTATTATTGTTTTATTGGTGTACGCATTAAGCATCGTACTGTAAAGGGCCACACGTAATCGATTTCATCTGACTCTTAACGCTATATAATAAAGGCTATTTTGCAATAACAAATAAAAGGTTCCGTCGCGTCGTACAATGATGAGGTGGCTCCAAACAAGGATGCTGTGATAAAAGGAATAATTGAAATACATGAATAATAGTGTAAAATATAATGTTAACTACACAACATTACTAATATCTTTATCAGTAATACATTTATATTAAAACTTCTTTATATACTGTATACGTTGGCATGCAAAATTCATAGATATGAAATAATTTTAATTTTCATACATTTATTTTTTAATGTACCAAAAGTAGTTGTTACATTATTATAAAAGAAATGTGATAATTATCTCTTAAAAGAGATCTCTACCAGAAACCCTTTTGATAGAGGAAACGAGAAAATAAATTTGGAGTAGGTACAATAAAAAGAGAAGGAAAAAATAAAAAATAAAAATATGCAAACAAAATTATAATGATGTAAAGTTTAATTAATAATATAGATTTTTAATTTAAAATATCATGTATATTATAATAGTAATTGGTCTTACATTACCGTCGGTACGAAAACAGCTTAATTAAGTTCAAAGTACAGCTCATTATTTAGCCTTATCTTTGGTTTTTTCCCCGATCACCACGTAAGGACTATAAGGCACTTGTTAAATATTATACCTACAGAATCTATAGTCTAAAAAAGGTCGCTTTTATAAAGTTTTTTAATTAATATGAACTGAAAGTTAGTGAGATGTAAACTTTCGCGAGTATTCATTTAAATGAAACTAAATATTTTTAGATTACTACGCATTTTTCTATTATTTCAAAAACTACGTAATCCTGACTTTTAGGTTACTTTGCAGCAATACGGGCAGACGAGATGAGCCGAGATGTGTGGTTGCTGCAAAGTAACCAAAAACTCAGGATTATGTTGTTTTTAAATGATAAAAATATGCAAAGTAATTCTAAAAATATAACTTTCATTTAAATGTACTGAAATTAATAACAATAATTCAGTAAGACAAATAAACTTTTACTTGACTGACGAGTTTATGACGTCGCAAATGGTTTGATGAACTTTTAAACGAGAAATATCCTAAAAGCTTTACTGACTGTTAGCTTATTACTGCTGTAATCTGTAAGTTTATTGTAAATAACAAGCTTATTAAATTAAGGAACATATTTTAAATCATGAAAATTCAGTACTAAAAAGTTTATTCAATTCGCATAATTCCTGAATCATTAGTAAAGATAAAATTACATATATATAATTAATCAATAGAATACTGCCCTATTTATATTTGTTAGAAAGTACGTATTAATTAAGTGCAAAATCTAAGCGCACGGTAGTGCGCCGGCCAAGTTCCACAGGCCGGCGCATGCCGTGCACTATATTTACACGAACCGTTTCGACCCACTTTTGACCCCCCTGTAGCTCAGTGCCTATTGCAAGTACAGAGATAAAATTTTACCTACGTAATCATATACTAGTACTAAAGCAGTATCCCAAATTTCATAGATAAAGCTTCAGTAGATCCTGAAATATGACCCTGTGAAAATAGCTAATTTTGGCACTGACTCACTGACAGGTAATCAAAACCTCTAGGCCACTTCCCATTGTTTTAGCATTATGAAATTTGGCACACAGGTTGTGTGTTATATGTAGATTAACAAAAAATTAAGAAATTTAAGAAATCGGTCAAGCGTGAGTTGCCTCAATTCTAAATATCGAATTTTTAATAAATTCGACCTACTTTTGACCCCCTGTAGCTCAGTGTCTATTGCAAGTACAGAGATAAAATTGTACCTACGTAATCATATACTAGTCCTAAAGCAGTATGCCAAATTTCATAGATAAAGCTTCAGTAGATCCTGAAATATGACCCTGTGAAAATAGCTAATTTTGGCACTGACTCACTGACAGGTAATCAAAACCTTTATATAGGCGCTCAGCTCAGCACAATAAAATACATAATAATGAAATATTAATAATTAATAATATGAGTACATCTATCAATCGGTGATAAATGAAACTAAAAAATAAAAAATAAATATAGTTTTAAAAAAACTAAAAAACGAGCTCCAATGATGAAAGAAACCGCGTGGAAACTAATTTAACCTTTACAACCTTGGAAATCAATTTAATTTAAATTGTTTAAAATATACAATAAATGGTATTATTGAAAAAAAAGCGTGGGGCGCTTCTCAAGAATTGATATATGAAGCTCATCACGCTTTTTTTCACAAAAATACCATTTATTGTTTGTTAATTTATTTTTAAATTAATATTATTGTGAAAAAAGTGTGGGGCGCTTCTTAAGAACTGATATATATATATATAAGGGATATAAAATATTGTCATGTATACATAATGCACACTGTATAACTTAATTAAATATTGCTTACCTAAAAAATCAGGTTTCTATTGTTATAAATTACTTTCGATAGATGGCGCTAGCGGTATAATTGAATCGCGATATTGTTTTGTCTGCAGTATATATGAATGAAAGTCGATAAGGAATCGATGGTCATTTCTTTCTATTTCTTTCTACACTTATGTCTTGATATCTTATATATGGTTACGATTACAATTAAATGGATCACTGATTTGACTTGCTAAAGGATTAATTTTGATATTGCTTATTGATTGATTACTTGTGTGTGTTAAAAGCACAAATTCACTCTATTTCTTTTCTACTATTCATTTACCAACGATGGAAATTGTACATCTTTCGGTGGTTGGCGGAGATATACCACAAAGGGTAATTCCTATGCCATCAGATGGTAGCTGTATGTTTCATGCTGTAAGTTATGCATTGTACGGCTGTATAGAACGATTGTATGTACGATTTCTTGAAAAAAAGTATTGAAATCTCACCAAAAACATGCCTGTTAAAAAGGGGGCCAAGTTCCAATCGGCTAATTGTTTGCCTAAAAAAGGGGTGAAATCCAATCTAATGCCAAGTTTAGATGCACTTTGAAATCGATCATAATCATCTTCATCAACAGCATGATCCACTGGTAAACATTTGCCATTCCCAAGACTCGCCACCACACCCAGTCCTCTGCCTTCCACATCCAGCCACTACCCGCCACCTTATTCACGTCAACGGTCCATCTGACCGAAATTCACTTTACCATACACCCAACTTAAAATATGGTATAGTTGTGAAAATACGTAGGTGCTTGGTAAAAAATATCTAAAATTATAATACTTCTAAATTTGAACTTGGCAGGTTAATTTAATTATTTAAACTATATAATATTTAAATTATATAAATATAAATAATTATATAACTAAATAATAAATTAATGATACAATTAATTAAGTGTTACGTACAGCACAAAAACCTGCCAAGTTCAAATTGAGAAGTATTATAATTTTAGATATTTTTAACCAAGCACCTACGTATTTTCACAACTATACCATATTTTAAGTTGGGTGTATGGTAAAGTGAATTTCGGTCAGATGGACCGTTGACGTGAATAAGGTGGCGGGTAGTGGCTGGATGTGGAAGGCAGAGGACTGGGTGTGGTGGCGAGTCTTGGGAATGGCAAATGTTTACCAGTGGATCATGCTGTTGATGAAGATGATTATGATCGATTTCAAAGTGCATCTAAACTTGGCATTAGATTGGATTTCACCCCTTTTTTAGGCAAACAATTAGCCGATTGGAACTTGGCCCCCTTTTTAACAGGCATGTTTTTGGTGAGATAATAATATTACTAATAACCATATATTTTATCGTCTAAAGTTAATGATCTTATGTGGTACATTCATGCACAGCATCCATTGATACGTGTAAATGAATCAGGACCTACCTCACGAGTGCGCGTCAATCGATGCGAATACACGCAGTGCCGCGCATGCCCGCTGTGGGTCTAAAGTACAATCACGCAGAAAAGCTCTTTAACTTAAATTATATAAAAAATATATATTTTTTAAAATCTCATTCAAATATGATATAGATTTTCAATAGAATTTAGTGTTCTTGAATATCAAATGTTTGTGAATAAATGCATAAAAACCTTTAAATAAATATAAGATATTGAGAGATATATACTTTTGGAGATCACTTGAATAGTTTCATTACCAACAAGTTACATGATATCAAATCGATGTAGAAAACACTCATGTTAATACAGTATTTCATTCTATGGTGTACTGCCAAAACCTCGACCTACATACCATAACGCAGACTCAGAAGCTACCCCTAACACATTTGGACGCGATGTTACTGCGGCCGATTCAGTTAGTCTTTGCGGCATTCGCGCGCTAGTGTAAGCCCTTTGCCTTACTTCCTCCTGTACCAGTGATTATTTTGGTAGTAAAACCATAATGTAAGTATCATTTATATTAACTTCGATATCAAAGAAATAACAATTTCGTTTAGCTTTTTGCGGCTACTTAGAAGTTCGTCGTAAGTTCTAATTCTTTGTATATTTAAATCAATGATAGTGGAATATGAAATTATTTGTCTTAGTAAAATGTATTTTAATTAGCATGATAAAGGTCATATAAGGAAGAAATAGACATTTATTAATGAAAAAATTTATGAATGATAGTTCTACATGTTTGAATTCTAAGAGTATGTATGTATATATTCATACTGTGGTCTTTGATAAGAAATCTCATATTTTTAATTATCATATCCGTGTTGTAATTATATATAATGCGGATGAAAATTTAATATTACGCCAATCAAAATATGACTCAGAACCAATGAGTTGAGTATTATTTAAGAAGAAATAATAGAATTGCTTTGAATTTAACTTTGTAGATTACATCTAACAGGAAAAAATATATTAAAAGTACTAGTATGTAATTTTAGAAACTAAATTAATGGTAACCTTTGTATTATATCAAATATTTTTTAAAAGTATTTACTAAAGGAAAAATTGTACATATCGAATAAAGCTAAACTTTTTCTGATATACTACCCGTTTTTTATTATTGTATAACTACAAGGAACCGAAATATATTAATTATGATGTTGTACTCGTATAATAAAGAAAAAACTACTAGTATATCCTAAGAATCTTAATTTTGAATTTATCAATACACGCAAAAACTTTGGATGGCATTAAATATATTCATATTGTATAACATAAGTTTGATAAGATTTCAGATTAAGCCATCTTGAATATATAAGCTTGGCGTCCTTGCGCTGATGTGGCGTCTTGCCAAAACGATATTGACAAAAGACCTCTTCAACATTAGCTACATCTGTTGTTGATAATAATTTCCGTGTTTTCAGGGCAGCACCAGAAGGCACTCCCGGCGGTCTTGCCCCAGCGGAGCCTCAAACGGGTCCTGATGGTGAAATCATCGGAGGACCTCGTACTCCTCAACAGATTGCTGCGCAAAGGAGGCTACAACAGACCCAGGCGCAAGTCGATGAAGTAGGTTGAACATTCGGGATTCCATAGATTTTTTGGTATATTATTGACCTTAGCTGTCAACAATATTTCATTGCAAATATATTGAATGTTGTGTAATGTTCACTCTATGGAGTTTTTAATTAAAAAAAATTATATTACTATCCTTATGGAACCGTTCCTTTTCCCATCCTTTAATGTCCTTTCCCTTTTCCCTACCCTTCCCATCTTTTTCTCCCTGTCTTCTCTAATCAAGGGTGGCAACACATCCGCAAATTTATTATGCTACCTCCATCAGGCAGGCCGTCTGCTCGGTTGCCCTTTTACCATAAAAGAAGAACGTCTTTGCTCTTAATTGAATGAAAGTTAATTGAAGATTGATTGTAATTAAACTGGCTAATATTCTTATTTCAGGTTGTGGATATTATGAAAGCTAACGTCGAGAAGGTATTAGACAGAGATGCCAAACTATCAGAACTTGATGATAGAGCAGGTAAGAGATATGAATTGACATAATTATGTAACAAATACTATGAATATTTAATGCTTTCTTTGTACGTAGACGCGCTTCAGCAAGGCGCATCGCAGTTTGAACAGCAAGCTAAGAGTTTGAAGAACAAATTTTGGCTTCAAAATCTTAAGGTATGATATAAATAATAAGCTGATATTATCGTTTATAATGATATAATATTATTCCATGACATGATTCCAGATGATGATTATTATGGGGGTGATTGGTATCGTTATCATTGGACTCTTGTTTGGTGAGTATACTTAGACTATTACTGTGAATCTAGATGTTATTATGAGATGTTTAGATGTGATATGACCTTTAGATGTTCTAATATTTGTTTTAAACGACGATTTAAATACAATTAATTGAATTGATATAGATATGTTAAATGGATATGTATATCTATAATGAATGGAACCGCTTAGTCTTCTTGACGCTCTCCGCTTATTGAGGCCTTCTTTCACTTCTATATCTAGGATACTAGTTGTAAGCTTAAACCACGTGTTAATGAAGCCCAGATGAGGTTCTGTAGTGCTAGAGGCTTCGTGGCGTATGTTGTGCTTACGGCTGTTTGCAGGTGATAACATTAAACAAATGTTTGGTTAGTTCGAAATCGCTCCACACCCACTATGACCGGACTGAGCCCAGCGGTAGCGGAGAATACAACAACACCTGTCCCAAGTCATTGTAAGTCTATCTGGTCTTTCTTTTCTCATCCCTGCACGTTAGCTTCTAGATATGTCGATGTTAAATGGAGGTTGTGTTGCTTGCACGAAATGTATGCCATTTTCAAATATATGTAAGAAAAAATTTAAACTAATAACAAACATTCTGACACTTTCATTTGACTTCAAGTACTTATTTTGGGCACATTTTAAAAAAATCACATAAGTAATAACATCATTTGTTTTCAACTCACAATACATATATTTTACATAAGCATATGTACATACATTGTTTTATATACAGAGACATCAATTTTCGATTAAAAAATAGATCAATTATATTTAGAAAGTACACATGTACATTAATTCGCTTCTATCAATACATTACACTAACAAATCATACTGATATTTATAGCTCTATTTTACGTGAGGTATTAAATGTTTTCTTATAAATTTTTGAAATTTCAGGAAAATACATGTAAAACATCGCAACTTAAGGAATATTCGTATAATCGTTTGGAAATCAGCATTAAATACGATCGCGTAGATATAGTATAGATTAAAAAAGTTATGTTTCTATTAAAAATATATATAAAAATTGTGCTTTATAGTGTTAGTTACGAAATAATTATTTACTCTCCCAGAACAATATGTTTAATTAAATCTCCATTTGAAATCCCATTGTCATAAAAGTTTAAAGAAGTTATAAATTAATATATTAAGATTACACTCGGTCATAGATATAGAATAATGTGATTCGATTTATTATATAGATAATAATATAGGTGTCAAATTTATTGTATAATCTGTTATATTGTTTGCTATTAAAAAAATAATTATTTGCGTGCCTTGCCTCCTTGTAATTATATAAAAGTATGTTTCAAAATCGGCCTACAACAATTAGCTATGGTATTTGATACGTATATCGAAAGGTGGTGTCTAAAAAATAAATATATATAAAATATATTAAAATAAAAAAGTCCAAAGAATCTGTTTTCAATATATTATTGTATACTTACTCGGAGTTTTCGTCGTGGAAATAAATAGAGACAAATTAGAATATTTCATTCATAGGATGTCTGAAAACTAACTTTTCACGACGCAAATTGAAAGTAAAAGTACTAATTTGTTTTATATTATTTATTCGATTTTGAACTTTATTTTAATTAAAAACAAGAACTATATTAATAAAGAGCAAGATATTTATTAATTTAGATGTATACACTGTGGCTGTTAGTTGTGAAGCATTATATTTTCCGTCTTCGATATGTAAAGAAAGTCAAATTAGTTATAAACACAAAACTATTCTTTGGACGTATTACGATAAATATATATATTTAAAATTTAATTAAATGTTGATTACAAATTCGAAAGCACAGATATTTTAGTTTTAAAATAAGTAACGAATGTTAATTCTTTATTGACAATACATTTAATATTTTTAGATTATATCTTTGGTTGTGTTTAATACATAACCTTTAGTATGAGCTTAATTGTGAAGCATATAACTGGAAAATAAAGAAAAAAAATACGCAAAGTTCCATAGTTTTTGCAAATTTAGCTCGGACTAAAGGCATTGTGAACTTATTTAAGAAGTCAATTAAATTAAGCTAATCTTTATTCTTTTGATCTAAGCGTGGTTTTTGACTAGTATGATTAAAAAAAATAAATGTCAAAAGCTTGACAGAAGAGAAATACTGCATTTAAAGTCTTCAAAATAATAATATAATTAATTTTAGCTCAAATTGACAAGTTCGGAATGACGGGTATAACCTGAAAATATGTAGGTACTAGGTATTTATTTGAAGTTACTATATAATATTCTGCTTATATACATGTATATCTATGTATTCATTTTAGGTGATATATGTACCTACATCTACAGGAAATGTAATGGTGCCATTGACAATATTAGTTTTTTATATGGATGGTGTGTGTTGTAATAGATTGTTTTTAATCTGTCACTATCGCTTAAGACTTTCGGTAACAATAATTAATTTATATTATACAATTCATATTATTAATGGCAATTTCTTTTAAAGTACGGTTGGCGTCACAAGTTTTACTTTTAAGTCCAACAGTACTTCGGCACAATAGTTACTGCATAAGTTCCTTGTTGTATTATATGGTAGATTATAAAAAAAATACACTTTATTATTTATTAGACTTAATGCATAGATATATTATTTCCGAATATTTGAATATTTCGTTTCTTGTACAATAATGTAAATTAAATCAATAAAATATAAATGTATTATTTTTTATGTAAGAAAAAATATAAAAAAAACGATTTAAATCTTTAATATTTATTAATAGTTAGTATAGTGAAGTTTTAATTGCACTTTAAAAAAACTGTTTAGTGTAATAATAATTTCAACTGAATATTGTAAATTACACGTTATTGAAATACATCATATGAACTGATATGTTATATTATTGAATTTGAACCTTATTCATTATGGTTGAAAGTATTTTACAGCTTGTGATTCAATTTAATCCGTGTGTATCCGCCCTTATTGCAACAAAGGGCGCTAGAGGCTATTTATTATTATGGAGCTGGAACCTTTCAAATATCAATGACGTACATTACACCATTACAATGTGTTATGGTGGTGGCGATGTATCCATAATTTTATATTTAGCAACCATTGCAACGCCACGGACACGACGCTAACGTGTTAATAATGTAAGACAAAGCACAATCTTCGTAAATTGATAAATTTAGTCCTGTCACACGGGAGAATAAAATTAATATAAACCCATTCAATTCTCAACCATATCCCTTTTGTTTAAGATCTATTTTATTATATATTTGATAGTCTAAGCTCTGTTCCGTAAGCCCTCATAGACTATAGCCTGAGAATGATGTGAGAGAGCAGGCTTTCTCTTTGATACCCGCCATTTTGACTTACAGTAATGGTTGGTATGACGTGAGTTATGCGTTCGTGTCACTGAGCCTTAAGTAATGTCGGTAGTGTATGAACTCTTAATGTTAGGTTCAATTAAAAGGATAAACTATACCTTTAAAATATTATTAAAATAAAAAAAACATATAAAAACTTTTTACTAATCCTAAATATGACGTCTGTCACATTTTGCGTTAAGATTTGTCAATTGTTTTTTTTTTTTTTATAAACACGAAACAGTTTGCGGTATAATAAGGTTGTATATGATATTATTTTTATTTCTCAGCTTTGATCCACTTGTTATTTATATGTTGGTACAAAAGTAATGTGCGAATACGATATTTCGTTGAACGGACACTCAATTATTTTCGCTGTGGGAACTGTCTAAGAAAACAAAGCGTGTTCAGTTACAACTGATCTTGAATAAAACCGAGTCACTACTACGGTTATTACACTTTAAATTTTATTATAATTATTAATTATATTGGATTTAATATTAATTTATATTAAATATATTTCTTACATAATTCATAATTTCGATCAATATAGCTTTTAAATCAAAAATGTTAGTTTTTAATCCTTTTTATATGAGAATACATATATATTATAATGATTTTTTTAATATTTAAATGTGAATCGAGTTATCATAGTAGCATCATCAGAACTAGATCCGGATGGCTTGGAGATATTGAATTTAGTGTGAACACTTGGAGCATTATTTAATTGCACGTCAACTTGTAAGCAGTTAAGGTGAGAGGTGATACTATTTGTACATTCCTAACTATGAAAGAAATAAAAAAACATTTTATAACATGTTTGTATTATATTTAGAATTAAATAAATTAAAAAATATATATATCATACAAAAATATGCTTAAAAATTATGAATAAGATACGAGTGTAATTACATATATGTATATATGTATGAAAAAAAGTATATGTATGTTTGTGTGTAGGTGCTATGTTGATAGTTCCAGGTAATGAGACTGTCAGGTGTCTGTGGTGTTTTATATTTAACTTTTTTTGCTCGTTCAATGTTTATTCTCGTTCAACCTCGACCCTCGGTTCGTCTTGTAAATATAGATCGTGTTTTTAAAGTAGAATGACCTCAATACTTGTAATTTTACATATTAAGCTTGACCTCTTTAAGAGTTCATGTGCTACGTAATATTTTTCTGAACTAATTGGTTGAAGGATATTCTTTTAAACTATCGAATCTCTTGCTTGTATGATTCCGAAGATATTTTAAACCTTAATTTATGCGTATTAAAAAGAATCTTAATAAAAAAAAAATAATAATAATAACTTAATTTTTATTCGCACTGGAATCGTGAAATTCCTTAGAACGTCAACGTTTTAATTTGTTATTTATTGGACAAAAATTTAATTGTTTACACACTTATATTAAGTTTGACAAATTTCACAACCTATAAATAGCAAATATTTGTCATTTTACATAACTCATTCTATTATGAATAGTGTTTCAATACGACAGTCATGATTTAGTTCACATCGAAAGTGAGACAAAATTTTGATTATATGTTACAAAACGTTCTAAATATATATTATCTGAACACGTTTATAATATAGGAACTTGTTTCAAGACCGATTGTTCTGTTTATATTGAATTATACAAAACTTTGTCCCAAATAAGTGTTACAGATTATACACTTATTGACAGTTACATATTATTACAATAATTATTGTATGTCAAAAATGACATATGTAATTTACCTTATGGTTCCAATATATAATATAAACACAAAAAACAAGTAAAAATAGACAAAAATTTATAAAAAGTCCTAGTAGTTAGTAAAAGTCAGCAATAAATATATTTTTGTCTAAGGCATGAGCAAAGTTAAAAAACAAATATTCATAGAACAGATTTAAACCCTAGACATTCTAAAAAAAGTTCTTTTTGCTTTACCAATTCTATGATTCTAGTCATGTCGATGAAATTTTCATCCTATATTTAAGTATTAGCTCGTATTAAAAACATAATTACAACAA